GGGCTTGATCCCCAGTAGGGGGCGTGCAGGAGGCAGCCGATCAATGAGTCTTTCTCATCATTGATGTTTCTATCTCTCTCCCTCTCCCTTCCTCTCTGAAATCAATAAAAACATTAAAAAAAAAAAAAGGGAGAGAGAGTTAACGCTAGATGGTCAGTCCCTCAAAAAAGCCTGCCTGGATAATGGTGTCTTCTTATACCTAGAAGAAAATGCCCAGGAATTCAGCAACAGTGACTGACTTCAGTTAATGAGTAAGAAGGGAAGCCTGGGTGCTGATCCAGGGAGCGTGAGCCTCAAACCTCTGAGAAAATTGACTTGTCTTACGAGGTAGGCAGGACAGGTCCCCTTTTTGTCAATCATAATAATAGCTAACCTACGAGGTAGGCAGAACAGGTCCCCTTTTTGTCAATCATAATAATAGCTAACCTCCACTTAGCACTGACTCTAAGAGTGCACTAGGCACTCTTCTAAGCATTTAACGTGCATTATTTCCGTTAATTCTCACTGGATTTTACAAAGTAATATTATACCCATTTTACAGATAAGAAATTGAGGCACAGAAGAAATGAGAAACTACTCAAGGTTGCTTTGCTTGTGAGCAGCAGAACCAGGTCTTGAACCCAAATGGGCTATTTCTAAAGCCTGTGTGCTTACTCTGACCCCATACAGCAGTGGTTCTCAACCTTCTGGCCCTTTAAATACGGTTCCTCATGTTGTGACCCAACCATAAAATTATTTTCGTTGCTACTTCATAACTGTAATGTTGCTACTGTTATGAATCGTAATGTAAATATCTGATATGCAGGATGGTCTTAGGCGACCCCTGTGAAAGGGTCGTTCGACCGCCAAAGGGGTCGCGACCCACAGGTTGAGAACCGCTGTCGTACAGGGTGGCACCTGGAGATTGCTGTCTGTCCTTACCTTTTTTTATAGGATTTCCACAGACTCCCACACACTAGGGTAAACCCTGCTTTGTTCCATCTAAACAATCTAGTTTCAGGATCTCACCTAGGGAAAAGAACCCTTCACAATGAGCCTTAACTTTACCCCATGGCCTAGAATAAGGATTGTGGAGCTCTGTGCCACAGGTGCTCTGGTTACTTATTCTGTCTAACAGGAGCCATGATTTTTGTGGTGGGATGAATTTATGGGGACAAAAACTTGGTTTATTGATAGGTGTTGCTGGATTTCCAGGGGGACACTGGTGACCCTCTGTTGGAGGCAGAGCTGCAGGGTAGCCCCTGGAATCCTTGTTTCCAGCCATGGCACTCGGATTTCACTCTTAGTGACAGTGGGGAAGGCAGAGGAAGGGCAAAGTCTCCTCCTCCCAGTCACAGAATTCCATGGCTCTTCTCCCCTCGTGGGGAACTGGGCTCAAGGACATACATCTCAAGGCTGATGGCTGCATTCCGATTTGGATGGGCAAAGGTTTAGGAGTCACCTTTCATTTCACCACCTCAGTGTATTTTAGAATCAATTAAAATTAAGGTAAAGAAAACCTGTGTGAAGTCTTAATTCTGGTTCAGACTTTAAACACAGGCTCAAACATTCCCGAGAAGTTCATGCCTGTCTTTTTCTAAATATTTCCCCGAGGGCAGGGTTCCATGTCTAGATATGGCACAGTTACCTAGTTACCGGAAAGGGGACCTAGCCCAGAACCGGTCAGCCTAGGGCCAGTCGGCCCGGGGCGGGGGGGGGTGGGGGGGGGGGGGGGGGGGGTGTCTCACCTTTGTGCAGGAAAAATCTTACAGCACGAGTCCAGGTGAATTTTAGAGAACATTTATTAAATCTGGGGACAGTGAAACAAGCAAGGGCTGGGGGAAGGTCGAAGAGAGGACGCCCGTCCAGGGAAGCGGGATTTCAGCAGAGTCCTGACCTCCAGAGAGCCGAGTTTAAGGGGAGAGCATTCCAGGGGCAAAGGAGCGCACGTCGGTAGAGTCTGGGAAACGGCCCGGTCCTCCAGGCGGCGGGTGGAGTCGGTAGGACTAGGACGATGGCCCCACCCACGCCCTGCGCAGCGGGTTTGGGTTTGGTACCTAGCGGTTCCGGAACGCAGGTAGCCACAGGGAGGCACGTTTAAACCGAGACACCTGACGCACGCCCGGGCCCCTCCCGATTAGCCCCGCCCACTTCGGGGCGGGAAGCCGTGGGTAGCTGGCCTATCAGCACTGCCGAGGCCAGCGAAGTCTCTTTTTCATTGGTGAGCGGTAGGGTGACGTCATGTCCCCCGGCTCGGCAAAGGAAGAGGGCGCCATGATGATTGGCTGGCGCTGGGGCGGTGGGCGGTGGGACAGCCTGGCGAGCCTGGGTTGCAAACCCGCGCTGGACTTTCCCTTCCCATGTTTCGCAGCCCTGGGGTTGTTGCCGAGGCCGGGGAGTCGGCTGGGCGGAAACCTGGATTTGGTCCTAGGAGCTGCGGGGTTGACCGGAAGTGATCCTGGGGCTGACCGGAAGCGAGGCCTGGAGGGACGAGGGAGCGCGGGTCCCGGGAGGGAGGGGGGAGTTCCTAGCCGTAAGGGGGCGGGGGAGAAAGGTGCGACGGCGACCTGGGAGCGCCGGGGAGGCCGTGGGTCGCTGCTGTTTAGGAAGCAGCGAGTGACCACCACGCGCAGAAGGGGAGAGCCCGGAGAGGAGGAGTGTGGGCGCTCAGGGCTGCCCCTGGGCAGTCGGAATAAATCAGCGGAAGGGCCCTCTCGCAGCTCCGGAGAGCCGATTGCGAGGGATTTTGAAAGTCGGGGCAGAACAAGGAGCCGAGGGTAGGGGAGATCAGTGCGGGTCGGGCCAAAGGGTAGCTGGTGGGTACTGCGTGGGAAATCTTGGTTTGCAGTGTCCTCCAGTTCTGCCCCCATTGGATAGAATCACACTGCTCACCTTTGTGCAAGAAACAGTGTCTCCTGGGGCCAGGAAGCAGCCAGGATGGCTTGGGCTCTGAAGCTGCCTCTGGCCGATGAAGTGATTGAATCCGGGCTGGTGCAGGACTTTGATGCTAGTCTGTCCGGGATCGGCCAGGAGCTGGGTGCCGGTGCCTATAGCATGAGGTGAGTGAGATTTTCCCAGACCCTGCACCTTCTGAATAACAAAGGCAGGATAGAGAGTGGAGACGGGGGTAAGCTGGGGGAGAGTTAAAGGAGTTGTCTGCAGTTAGGGAAAAGGGCCTTTTTTCTTTTGCTGCTTTGAGTTTGAGTATTGTGGACAATGGAACTGGAGATTGTGGGCAGTGTCAAGTCTGCAGGATCAGTAGGAGGAGGAAGAATAGCAACCAGAGAAATGTTGAGAGGATGTTGTGCCAGTGTGGGAGGCTTGGGAGACTGGTGGTGGTGGTGGTGGTGGTGGGTGTAGATTGGACTGGACTTGTTTGAGGAAGAGGCTGTCCTGAGCATGTGGGGAATGTCGAGGGAGTTGGGGCGTTGGAAGCTGGGTCTTAATGATGAATATTGGTTGACTGTTGGAAGGAAATGTGAGACCTTGGTGAAGAAGTCCACACATCTGTATCTTAGCCTGCTTTTAATGCTTTGCTTACTTCTAGGAACTTTTGAAACATAGTTGTGAAATGAAAAAGTATCAAAGAGGACTTTTAGATGCTTTTAGAGCTTCATGTATCAAACCAAATGTTGATAATAAAGTACCCTTTGGAAGCAACATTACTTTCCCATGCACTTACCTGCTTCATTCTCCCAGTATAGTTTGTTTCATGTTGAAGATGTGCAAGAACCATGTCTGGAAATGTTGAAACATGTGCATCTTAGGGTTAGATAGAAAGTAACTGGGTTTCCAAATGCATTTATAAGGCTTAATCTAAATAAGTCAAAAGAGACTTTATTTTTATTGAATTTATTGGGGTGACCTTGGTTAATAAAATTATATAGGTTTCAGGTGTACAGTTCTGTAATACATCATGTGTATATTGTATGTTTACCACCCCGAGTATCCTTCGATCACCATTTATCCCCCATTTACTCTCTCCTACCTCCCCCCACCTCCCTTTCCCTTTGGTAATCACCATGCTGTTGTCTGTCTATAAGGGTATTTTTTGTTATTGTTGTGTGCTTTTTTGCTTAATACCTTCACCTTTTCCACCTAGCCCTCAAAAGAGACTTTAGAACTTAACACCTTAATTGGGTTTAGGAGGTTATTGAGAAAATAAGCTTTTTTATGGGAAAAGTTGACAAATTTTGCATTCTGATAGTGAGATCCTTTGAGAGTCACATAATGTAAACTTCCTTTCTTTATCCCTATGAAACCAAAATGGACTTTCCTCACTGAAGTAAAATTATGAGTTAAAATTTAGTAAATACCTCACCTTCAGGAATCTTTGCTTACAGTTAGAACAATAAAGGCTATCTGTATATACATATATTTGTGATTTTCAAGGAAATTTGAGTTCTATCATGCAATGCTCTTAGTCTTGAGGAATTTTTAAAAATATATTTGTATTGATTTCAGAGAGGAAGGAAGAGGGAGAGAGAGAGAGAAACATCAATGATGAGAAAGTATCATTGATCAGCTGCCTCCTACATGCCCCCTACTGGGGCTCGAACCCACAACCCGGGCATGTGCCCTTGACTGGAACCGAACCTGAGACGCTTCAGTACGCAGGCCAATGCTCTATCCACTGAGCCAATTTAACTCTAGTTTTGTCTGACCTTGTTTACATAAGTCTGATCATAAAAATAGTGATTAACTTGGTCTGAAAGTAAATGTCTGGACCCTGAGCTTGCATGTCGGTATCTGACATAATATTTGACAATTTAAGCTATTGTTCATTTAAAGATTACCACAGCAAAAGTTTGGTTCTTGTCTAGGTTGAGTTGAGGATGTAGATAATTAAACATAACTGTATTTGTTATAAAAATAGTTAACATTGTTAACGAACATTTGCAAATCCACTATAGACTCTCTCTGCTACATGACCTTACATTGATGAGTGCTTTCTATCACTCATCAATGTGAGTGGTCTTCACAGGTATTAGTAAGAATGGCTTGCATATTTACACATTTAGAATTTGTTTTCAACATAAATTTACAGGAGTTTTCAAACATCATTTTATGTTTTTATAATGTACTAAATTTTTATTTTTTTTCTTTGCTTTTTTTCATGCATTTTGCTCTTGTCACTATTCTCTTGGTTCTTGCATACACATTAATTTGTGTTACTTAGATATTAATTCTCAAATTTGAGTATTCATGAGAATCATCTGGAATACTTACTAAAAATAGTTTCCAAGGTCCCACTTTGGTGATTGTCTAGGACACAGACCAGAAATCTGATTTTTTAAAAACAAGTTCATAGATGATTTTGATGCAGGTAGTCCAGGGACCACATTTCAAGAAACACTGACTAGAGGAGTTTTTATAGACAGAGGTAATGGCTTTTTGCTCTTCCGGTTTCTCCTTTTAATTAGATCTGGTGATTGCTTTTCCTACACCTTCATTAGGAAAAATGTTCTCTTTGACAAGCAATTTGTTTTGTAAAATTCTTTTCCTAATATATTTGTTTTACCCTAGCTTGTTTATTTTAATGATTTTGCTTCAAATTTATTGATTTATATTTTATGAAGATTCATCTTAACTGAAGTGTTCTTTTTTATTTTTGATCTGCCATTCTATTCAGTAATATTCTTTTCATAAGTAGCCCTTTAATAGTCTCCTTACTTTTTTTCTTACATTTAATACATGGCACAGACTTTATAGTTAAAATAAAGGAGAGTTTTTTTTAAAATATATTTTATTGATTTTTTACAGAGAGGAAGGGAGAGGGATAGAGAGTTAGAAACATCGATGAGCGGGAAACATTGATCAGCTGCCTCCTGCACACCCCCTACTGGGGATGTGCCCGCAGCCAAGGTACATGCCCTTGACTGGAATCGAACCTGGGACCCGTCAGTCTGCAGGCCGACGCTCTATCCTCTGAGCCAAACCAGTTAGGGCTAAAGGAGAGTCTTTAAAAACATGCTGAAAGAAGCCAGTCACAAAAACCACATAACGTATGATTCCTTTTCTATGAAATGTACAGAATAGGCAAATCTCTAGAGACAGATTACTGCTTGACTAGAGCTATGGGAAAGGAATGAATGGGGAGTGATTGCTAATAGTACCATTATTTTGGGGTGTGTGTTATAAAAGTGTTCTAAAGTGGTAATGGTTGTACAACTCTGTGACTACCTAAAAACAATTGAATTATACACTTTAAATGGGTAAATTGTATGATATCTGAATTGTATTTCAATAGAACTGTTATTTTACAAAGTAAAAATTAGATTTTGTGATTTATGTATTTATGAATAGTTATTGATTTTAGAGAGAAGCGAAGGGAAAAGAGAGGGACATCCATGTGAGAGCACACTGATTGGCTCCCTCCTGCATACCCCCTACTGGGGATGACGCCCACACGCAACCCAGCTTGGGGATGTGCCCTGACCAGGAATTGAACCAGTAACCTTTCAGTGCATGTGACGATGCCCAATCAAGCCACACTTTTATAAATTTTCCCTTTTTCTCCTTTTTTAAAAAAAACATATTCTTATTGATTTCAGAGAGGAAGGGAAATGGAGAGAGAGATAGAAACATCAGTGATGAGAGAGAATCACTGATTGCCTGCCCCCTGCACGCCCCCCACTGGGGATCGGGCCCGCAACCCAGGCATGTGCCCCCCGACCGGAATCGAACCCGGGACCCTTCAGTCCCCTGGCCGACGCTCTATCCACTGAGCCAGATCAGCTAGGGCTCCTTTTTTAAGTTGAAATGGAATTCACATTACATAAAATTAATCATTTTAAAGTGAACAGTTCAATGGCATTTAGTGTGTTCACAGTGCTGTGCAACTACCACCTCTACACTGAGTGGCCAGATTATTATGACCACCTGATGTTTGTAGGCATATTCCCCGTACACTGCATCGTATGGGATATGGAAGCTGAAGGCCTGGTCGAACACCTTTGCTGTCTGCAGTTACCAAGATAAAACGTCTCCAATTCGCACAGGAACACAAGGATTGGATAGTTGAGCATTGGAAAAAAGTCATGTGGTCTAATGAATCACATTTCCAGTTGCATCATGCAGATGGCAGAGTGAGAATTTGGCGGAAACAGCATGAAAGCATGCACCCCACATGCATGAGTACAACCCTTCAAGCTGGTGGGGGCAGTGTTATGGTTTGGGGCATGTTTTCCTGGCATGATTTGGGCCCTTTAATTCATGCGGAACAACATCTGAATAGCACAACATACCTAAGTATCGTTGCTGATCAAGTTCATCCTATCATGTTGATGGCGTATCCCTATGGAGATGGCTTCTTCCAACAAGACAATGCGCCATGCCACGGTGCTCGTATTGTGCAGGAGGGGTTTCAAGAACATGAGGGAGACTCCCTTGCTTAGGTGGCCCCCACAATCACCAGATCTCAATCCAATTGAGCACTTGTGGGATGAAGTTAAAAAAGCCATCAGGCAGCTGGTTCCACAACCATCAAATCTCACAGAACTGGACCGTGGTATTCATCAGGCATGGTGTCAGATACCTCGCATCACCTTTCAACATCTCATGGAGTCAATGCCAAGAAGAATTCCCGCAGTATTGAAGGCAAAAGGTGGCCCAATGAAGTACTGATGGGGTGGCCATAATAATCTGGCCACTCAGGGTGTGTGTGTGTGTGCGACCCACATTCAAAGGCTGTTAAATCGCGTTGTTTACCCATATCTTCAGAAAAAAATCAATTCTACTGTCGTGGTAAACAACCTGCTTCCCTATTTATAATGGTCTGGCCCTCTAGCATCTTCAGCGCGCAATTATAGCTAATTTGCCTACAAACGTCAGGTGGTCATAATAATCTGGGCACTCAGTGTAGTTCCAAAGCATTTTCATCACCCCCAAAGAAAATCCTCTACTTGTTAAACACTTGCTTCTCATTTCCCTCGCCCCTCTCTCCCTAGTAACAGCTAACATGGCTTTACCTATTCTGGATATTTCACATAATGGAATTATATGGTGTGTGACTTTGTGTGTCTGGCTTCTGTCAGCATAAATTTTCAGGGTTCGCCCA